ATAGTAGTTACATGTAAACTTATATTTATATACATATATAAATTCTATATAATTATAAATACATATAATTAATTTTATAATATTTTTAAAGGTTATAAATCATTATTAATCTAAATTATTACATCATTTAATGTTCAGCTTCATTTTCCAAAGTGGTAAATATGTATGGATACAATCTACATTAACAAAAGATTTTGGATACTTTGCTAATTTATAGGAGTCTAAAGAAGTCTTGAAATCTAAAAGCTTAAGAATTGCTATTCTAAGCTCTTATATCTTATTTTCCCAACTGGATTGGTAAGTACTTGAAGGCAGAGGTTTAACCAGCACATTAATATTTTTATTTCTTATTCTTCTGTTGTCTCAGTGGCTGTGTTTTTCCTATTAGATTTTTTCACACCGCGTGATAGTTATGTTTGTGTCAGTCTTACCAGGCATAAGTTCTTAAGAGAACACACTGTTTGGTTGATCTTTGTTTTTATTTTATTTAGTGGCCTGTGCTTAACAAGTGCTCAGTAAGTGTGTGAAAAGCACAGCATAGTGAAGGACTAGGAATAAAAAAATAATATGTATTAACAAATCTATTAAAATTTATATTTCCATGTTTCCTACAAAATAGTCCTTGTATGAGACTATGTACTTATTCTGATTAAGGCTATTGCCTAATAAATAATTGCATCTTGTGCTTTATAATTGTTTATTATTATAAGCCTAGGCTGGGAAAGTGTAAAAATGTACATATTCTCATAATTGACAAATTCTTATTTTTTTAAGGTAGATTTGACTGTTGGAAACAGTTTAAAGTCATTCAAAAGCAAGCTTGAAGAACAAGGTGGCTATGACTTAGCTTCCTACATCACATATAGGATTCTAATGGCACTTTCAATGTTAGGTAAAAATGTTTTGCAATGTATTATTCCTTTTACAACATTTTCTCCGTATTTATTAAACTAATGTATGTGCAACTATGTTTTGTATCAGGGTAAGTCAGGGAATAAAGATGCAGCAAATTTGGTCTTAGCCCTTGAAGTGAGAAAACATTTAGGCTCAGTTTTAATGTCCTAATTATTGGCCATTTGCCTACAAAGATTGAAGAAAGAACAAAAACATGTTGCTCTGCATTATTTGTAAACATAATTTGTGGGGCTGAAGTGAGGTAACAGACTGGAGGGCCTACATCTTATTTAGGCTGCAAATCTCTTGAAGTGGCTTCTTGTGTAGTTTCTCTTAGGCTGCCCTATATATTTTTGGTCTCCTGTGGACAGCAGCACTGATACTTCACATTCATTGAGGCAGCCACTACCAATGGGGGTGGCTGTTGTTAGCCTCATCCATTGGTGAGTCAGGAAAAAAACAGGTTTTAATCATTCAAAGTTGAGGCCTATACAGGGCTAATTAGGATTAGTTTAGCTGCCTCCAAACACCAATAGAGATCTCTGGCATGGTAGGTGGAGGGAATAAAAGAAAACTCAGTTGTGAGCCCTGTTCCTTACACTTGTCCTGACAATTCCTCTTACCTTCCTTTGAGTGTGTCTTGCTGTTTGAGACTCCCTCTCTCCAGTTTTGTTAATGCCTTTTGGACTTCACATTCTGCTCTACATATTTAACTTCATCCACTAGGGTTTCCAGAGCTTAAAGAGTGTAGCATGAAACAAATTTAGCCAACCTATACTAGTCATGATATGTACAAATACAAGATACATATATTGCATTGCAATATTTATTAACTGTCTCATCAATTTGTTGGTGGCTATCTTCCCACTCCAATTAAGGCCATCAATTTGGAGTGGGAAGACTGCATCCTTAATCTGAACTTTCCCTTGGAGTTCATTTTAATAGATGTTTTTGTTGCTCACAGGCTTTTTCAATCTTATTTCAAAATCTTCTAACCTACTAGATTTCAGGTTGCTTTAGAGTTGATGGTCAAAAATTTTGTGTCTTCTGATTTTCAGAATGGCTTCTAAAGATTCTAATTCACAGCCCTTAGAATAAACTGACTAACCAAGTGTCAAAGTATAATTTGCAAAAAGTGAAAATATGACTGGCATACAAGTACTGTATGTAGCGAGCTTGTGTATCGATGAAAATATGATTTAATCTGTTAATGAGGGATGACAAATAGGTCAAAGGAGGATATATGAGAATAAAATATGTATTTAGGGAAAGCAAATGCTAGCAGACTGAAAAACCAGATACAAAATTGGTTAATGTTAATGTTAGGCAATACAATCATAACTGGGTTATTTTTTTTCTACTGGAAATAATTTATTTACATCTCTACTAGACAAAAGCCTTATTAATTTATTAAACTTCTATAATGAACATCTAACTTCATGTAATCTGGGCCCAATGAAAAGTAAATATTAAGTCAAAGTTCTTTTTACTTAGAGCTATGCTGTCCACTGTGGTAGCTATTAGCTACACATAGTTGTTGAGCACTTGGGATGTGGCTAGTCTGAATCAAAATGTCCTACAAGTATAAAAAACACCACATTTTGAAAATTTACCACTTAGAAAAAGAATGTAAACAATCTCATTTTTAAAAATATTGATTACATGTTTAAGTGATAATATTTTAGGTACATTAAGTTAAATAAAACATCATCAAAATTAATTTCACCTGTTTCTTTTTATTTATTCAAATATGACTACTAGACAATTAAAAATTACATATGATTTGCATTCTATGTTATTGTCTAGTGTTGCTTATAGCATCAGATGACCCGTAAAAGGGCTTTTTAGACAATTCTCTAATACAGCTTAGAAGGATATGAAGAAATACATTTGCCTTGTTTTTAAGTTTAACTTTTCTCAACACAAGTTACAAGGGATCTGGGGAAGGGTTGCCTGTTTCTCTACCTTATGGCCTCTTCCATGCTGCCAGGAGGGTGGGGGGCAAGATTCTGGGTGGCTGGAAATCCGAGTGACTTGGGGTATGGACTTGGACTTCAGATTTGCATGTGAAGAGATGTGATTTGATTGATTTGACCTGAATGATATATTAAATAACTGAATCACCATAATCAAATTTACATATCTATGTTGTATAAAGGAGAGCACCAATTAATAGTGAAAGGAGGTCCAGTGAATAGGTAATCAAGACTCCACCCAGCTGTTTTCCTGGTGGATACAATCACTTAGCTAAGCTTCAGATGAGGAAGTGGCTCGTTGCCCGTAGAATCAGAACAAGTGACATGTTCTTATTTTATTGCTTTTACTGAAATATATTAGTACAATGTATGTGCTTCAGTTGTTTGTATACTTTCAATAATTTATAACAATTTCTATACCCAAAGTCCCTCTGAAGGACAGCCAGTCTAAAGTGCTTTTCTATAGCTGCTAATTCATCCATCACTAATCTCATTAGACTGTTAATTCCCAAAGGACATGAGCAGGAGTAGACACTGTTTCCAATTGTTGAACAAATGTTATTTAATAAAACCGTGGGGGTCATCCTTAGTCTACAAAAAGATGCTTTATTACTCATTCATCATTGAACTCAATTTGTATAATCTCTTGACTTTACCACAATCTAAGGCTGACATCTTTACCACATGTTTTCATGGAAACATATATCTGAACGGGAATTTTCGGTGAGTTATAATACTTCCTTTGTACCTAAATATAAACATGTAATCATATTAAATATATGATAGAAAAGTTTACCTTAACTTTTCTCTCAAGGAAAAAATATGCAATTACTTGGAGCCAAAAGGTGATATATGAAGTAGCAAACCTTAAAGCAGCTAAGCCAATTCAGAATAGAATAATTTTAGAGGGGTTAAGAAGAGGTGATATTAAGCTCATCAACAGCAGATGGTATAATAATTTATGATCTAGTAGTTTTCCTATCTTTCTGTTTAAATTTTTGCTATTTATTTTTTTCCTATTTCAACTCTATGGTCCATCTTATGTCAAAAGTGTGTTTTATTAAAGCCAATTGTTTATTTCCATCTGTAACTTTGAGTTCCCACTTAGAGATTGTCCTTCTGTAATCTATACAGTGACATATGTTAGGCACTTTACTGGAAGTAACCTAAAATTTACATGGGCTGAATGAAGTTCATCTTCATATTGCAGCATACAAAAATAAATAAATAAGTGCTTGTTTTCTTTGAAAACAGATCATCTCAATGTCTTTAACTGCCAAGTCTATTGGGTGTTCTTTGCAGGCTTAAGGGGTCTCCCTTCTTCCCTTATTATCCCTATTCATGAGGGCCAGACCCCCTGCCTTGCACAACTCAGAGGGGGGAACTCAAAGCTTTTTAAAACCAGCCCAATTTGTCGCTTTTAGAGAAGTGAAAAGGATGCCCCGCCCCCATCTATCAAAGAGAGATTTGATAAAGATTTGCAATGTCTTTAAATCAAAGATTTAAGTCTCTAACCCCCCACTCCTCTGGGTCCCCCACCTAAGGCTTATGAACCCCCTCCCATCCCACCCTAACTGCTTCGGACTGGCTCTGGAATCCCTGTCCCAGTCCACAGTTCCTGTGGGTCTGTACGCAGAATTCACAGAGGACCTGTGTTACTTCCCTTGCGAAGAAACAGAATTATCGTGAAAATTTAGGTGGAAAACCTTTCGTTTTTGTCCCCAAAATAAGGGAAGCATGTGCCCAACCACCCCTGCAAAAAAGAACTTTGAGGGGCAAAGGAGCGAACAGGTAATTTAGAAGAAAAACAGAAAGTGGTCTCTGACTGCCCTGGACTTCCTCAGGAGTTGGGGGAATTGGGGACGTCTGGACGCGTTGTCCTTGTGGTTATGGAAAAAATAATTGGAGAACACGAAACTCGAGGCTTCTCGGATCCTTTTCTGACCAAACCCAGGTGATTTGGTGCGGGACATTTTAATATTTTCCCCCTTTTGTGAGGTGGAACAAACACAACTTGGGCGCAGCGCAGCGGCTCAGAGCCTGCCAGCCAGGCGGGCGACCAGCGCACCAATCAGCGCGCGCCTGCGCTCTATATATACGGCGGCCCTGCCCAAGCGCTGCTCCATCGGCACTTTGCCACTTGTACCCTAGTTGTTGATCTTCAATATGTCGGAGACTGCTCCTGCCGCACCCGCCGCCGCGCCCCCGGCGGAGAAGACCCCGGTGAAGAAGAAGGCAGCCAAAAAGCCCGCGGGGGCGCGCCGTAAGGCGTCTGGCCCCCCGGTGTCAGAGCTGATCACTAAGGCTGTAGCTGCTTCCAAGGAGCGCAGTGGGGTGTCCCTGGCCGCCCTCAAGAAGGCGCTGGCGGCTGCGGGCTACGACGTGGAGAAGAACAACAGCCGCATCAAGCTTGGTCTGAAGAGCCTGGTGAGCAAGGGCACCTTGGTGCAGACCAAGGGCACTGGCGCTTCTGGCTCCTTCAAACTCAACAAGAAGGCAGCCTCCGGGGAGGCTAAGCCTAAGGCGAAGAAGGCAGGCGCAGCCAAGCCCAAGAAGCCCGCAGGAGCAGCCAAGAAGCCTAAGAAGGCGACTGCTGCCGCCACTCCGAAAAAGAGCGCCAAGAAGACCCCGAAGAAGGCGAAGAAGCCAGCCGCGGCTGCTGTGACCAAGAAAGTGGCCAAGAGTCCCAAGAAGGCTAAGGTTGCCAAGCCCAAGAAGGCCGCCAAGAGCGCCGCTAAGGCAGTGAAGCCCAAGGCCGCCAAGCCCAAGGTTGTCAAGGCCAAGAAGGCAGCACCCAAGAAGAAGTAGATCTGAGCATCTGCTTCTAAAACCCAAAAGGCTCTTTTCAGAGCCACCACTGACCTCAAAAGAGAGCTTAACATATCTGCCTGCTTGTTTAATCTTCCTGTAACTCGTATTTTAAGGCACCATAAAGATTGCAGCTGATAGAAACTGTAATGGGGTGGGGGAGAGTGGCTGCAGTTAGGTTAGAACCCGTTGACTTTCCTCCCATCCCACGAGGGAGCTTGCTTGTTCCTGGCCGCTCCGCACTGTTAGCATTCTGGTCAGCTGTTCTGAGACGTCTTTCGCTGGCTGCTGTACTTGGGATAGCCGCCAGCCCCGCCCAGCCCCAAGCTTGTGAACTGCAAGAAAAAAAAAAAAAACAACCCGCAAAAACAGAGTCTTTTAGTCAAAAGGGGCACCCGATTGGCCTGAGAAGTAATTCAAAAGTCCCGCCCTGTTCTCGGGTTGGCCCACTCCTTCAGCCCGTAACTTTCATCTTGCATTTAATTGGGTGATGGCCGGCTTTGTTTATTCTTCTGTGTTTTGTTTTCATGGAATTTAAAGTTTCGTCTTTCTCCTGAAAGAAATGGGTCTGGTATTGGGACACTTGCTATGTTATCGTTAGTCAAGTTGGTGAATTCTGGGGGCGTTGGTAACATTCAGCCCTGGGACAGAGTGGGTTTCGGGTGCCTTTGTCCTGCATTCCTCTGCCATTAATTTCTGATAGCTGTGGCAACTAAGAAACGCATTTAAAAAACAGCTACAGCAGGGGCACCAACTCTCCCTTCCACCCAGGGCAATGGGTGGACCAGGATCTTTTTGTTCCTCCTATCGTGCAGCTCTCCGCAAAATAGCGATGGATTTGAGCGCATCATAAACACAACTTTTAGCCAGCCATTTTGTCCTCCCATGACGGTTACTGATCCTCACTTTGGACAGACATCAGCATCTAAAAATCGAAGTTATTCTAAACGCATTTTGTACAAATGTTTCTACATCGAGAACAATAAGTATTGGTTCTATTAACTATTGAAAGTACGTCTATGGATGGAAAGCATGTTTCTAATAAAGGCCTTTAATTTTCATTAACAGTGTTCCCTGGATTCTTTCACATCCACAGTGTTTCTCCTGGATACAGAAAATTCATCCCATTTCTTTGTTTTGTGTGTTTGTTTTCTTCTGGTGGACATAGATTGTGATGAGACCCAAATTATGGGGACAGGGGTTTCTGAAGACCTACAGCTCAGTTATTTTATCATTTTCACAATGATGAATATAGTGCGAGCAAATTTCCCCATTAGTGGTAGTGACCACGGATTTCATCCTCAGGAAGGAAAGGAAGGGAGTGAGGGGAAGGTGAGGCAAGCAGAGGCAGGGAGGCAGTGAAGAAGGAAAGAAAATATTCCCGTGGGTTTCTTTAAGTCGTTTTTGTGTTGTTAATTTTACATTAACATTAAATAAACAAGCTTCCCTGTATTTTAGTGTAAAGTTCAATATATGGACCCATTTTTCCACCCAAGACCATTCCCTCCCCAGTTTGGATCCCACCCTTATCATAGGCTAAATTCCATGGACAGGTAGAACAAATCAGGCTTTTATTTTGTTTCTTTGGTATTTCTGGCCCTTTCTAAGGTAGGATCATACTATTTTAAATATACATTCAGTGTTCTCTTCAATGCTGAGAATATCTGACACATAGCAGGTATTCAAATAGTAACTAAATATTTAGTACTTTAGTCAACAATAGCCTAACGCTATTTCACAATGCCTACCCCATTCAACTCACTTCATCTCATCACGTAGGCACTGTTATCATCTTACAAGAAGGGTGAGTACAGTACAATAAATTTTGAGAGATATCATATTCACAACTTTTATTACAGTATATGGTTATATTGTTCTATTTTATTATCAGTTATTGGTGTTAACCTCTTACTGTGCCTTCTTTATTATATAAATTAATGTTGTCATAGGTATTTATAGAAAAACATGGTGAATATAGGGTTTGGTACTATCTGTGGTTTTACACATCCACTGGGGTTCTTGGAACGTAGCCCCCCAAAATAAGGAGGAACTAATTTAAATGAATGTTTAATGAACTGAGATGTTATAACAGGACTTTAAATGCTGATAGAGCTAATTCCCTCTCATGACTCAATTTTTCAGAATTGTCCTGTTTATTCTATTTTTTATTTTTCCATATGTACTTTAAGATGCTTCCCCTCCCTTCCTACTCCTCCACTCCACGTCACACTACATAAAACAAACAAAAAAGCCCTCAACACACAATTAGTAGTTTTACTGCGATTGTGTTAAACTTATAAATTAAGTTGAGGATATACTGAGTTTTCTTATTCAGGAATTTTTGTTTTTTCATTTGTTCAATTATTCTGTTATCTAAACGGAGTGTGTTAATTTTCTTCTAAATATATCTTACCATTTCTTCTTACCTTTATTCCCAGATATTTTATCGTTTTTGTTGCTGTTGGAAATGACAACCTATAGATTTTAGATTCCTTGAGTGCCAGCATCTCATAAAGTGCACATTAAAACTATTCAGTTATTGAAGATCTATACATGAGTTAATTAACAAATTGTAAAATAGTACTGTCCTTAGCTATATAAGGGAAAGACAAATGCAAGCTGCATATGTAATTTTAAACCTTCTAGAAGCCACACAAATAAGGAAAAACGAAACAAGTGAAGTTATTTTTAATAATATGCTTTATTTAACCTAATATCCAAAACATTATCATTCAACATAAAATCAATGTAAAAATATTTAGGAAATATTCTACATTCCTTTTTGTTTCTCATATTAAGTCCTTGAAATCTCATTTGTATTTTACACTTATAGCACATCTCAGTTTATAGTAGCCCATTTCAAGTACTGTTAACCATATGCGGCTCATAGAGATGATAAAGACAATACAACTCTATAATGCCCTTTGGTCTCATCCTGACCTCGTTTTTTTTGGGTTCAAAGCTTGAATGCTAGTGTTTCCTAACATGCACTGTGTTTTGTGTACTAAAATTTTGAGGATAATGGGTGCCTGGCCTTAAGCAATGGTAGATTGGTCCAGAGGTCATTGGGCCAATTTGAGCCAATCAAAAATTTTCTAGAAACTAGAATTGAGTTAGATAAGCTGAAGTGACCTGATTTCAGGGGGTGGGGTGCCTTCTTAGACACAAAATAGAAGAAACCAAACGATCTGATATGCAAAAGGAGTAGAATGAAGGTAAAGTACAGAGAAAAGCAGAGATGAGCAATGTACAGAGCTGCTCTATCTGGGTTCCTGACATCTCCTGAGTTCTTGGTTCTTAGAGCCATCCGAAATCCTGGCATGGGGGCTACCTCCCTTAGCTCAGGTTGGGTCGAGTTACAGCAACTTGGAGACCTAATTAAGAATATCTCCAAATATAGTCACAATTAGTGCTTAAAGTAATGGTACCATGAACTTCTTTGTTCCTTTCTCCCTCAAATACTTTCAATTGTACCCATTTACTTGATTTTCACATCAACTCCAAAAGTTAGGCAGGAGAGGAATCAACCCAAGGGAAGCCAGCTGAGTTTCTAATTTTCCTTCAAAGCCTTTGGGGTCGCTATTCATTGGACTTATATACTTACCATTAATCCTGAGATTGAATGTCTCCTGTAAACATATTTCCATAAATGACAGATGTATTCTCCTTTCAAATGAAACATATTCCCCAAATTAACAGAAAGTTAAAAACTGTAAAATTTTCCAGTTACCTAGCTTTTAGATTCAGTCTTCAATATGTTTCCTCAGCTTTGTGCACATTCTTTAGTTTTGTTTCATTCTATCACAATTGTTCATATAGTTGACAGGCTTAGGTCTAATGAGCCATTCATTTGAATTTAAAAATTGGCTACTTTAAGACACAAAAAAATCTTGTCTTAATTTTATTTAGTTTATGAAACTGTCAGGTGGAAAAATATTTTCTCTACCCTCTTAAAGAGGTTTAGTAACTGGAGGCTTGTGAATTTAAATGTCAAAGGACAGATTAATAGAAGAAAAAAGCATACAGTTTTATTACAAGCACAGAGCTCACAGAAGCAAAAAGTGAATCTTTAAAAAAGCAGTTAGACTGTGAGACTTATTTATATACTATCCTAGCAAAGGAAAGGCAGTTTGGGCTTCATAGGACAATAAATTATAGTGAAGTAACTGGAAATATACAGGCAAATCTAATGGAAGATAAGAATTATTTTAGTAAGGTTTGTTTTTATAGACTCATCTCAATGTCAACTGACTATCTCTAGTGATAAAAATTGTTCTCTTTTCCCCAGTATAGGAGACAAGGACACTTTCACAAGGGAAATTTATGTAACCTTCAAAAAGAGAAATGTATGTCTTAGTTTTAGTTGAGTAAGGTAAAGACAGAAAACTCTTCCTATATTTGTTGATTCTCAATTGCCTTCAGCTGAAAATAATTCTTATGTCAAAGTGACGTATTTTGGGATGACATTCTGATTCTCTTCAAAACCTATATTTTATTTAACATTATTGATAGTATCATTTCAAATTTTCATTTAGTTCTCTAAACAGCAACACTATATTCAAATACTTCCCTAAACACTGCTGATTAGCCAAAAATGTCAGTGAATATTGCATAAAGAGCTGACTGATAATTCAACCATGAAAATTCATGAATTTGTTCATGTATGATAGAAGTGTAATAATTAAATCAAATCCTTCTTATAATATATTATATTATTCAAAACTTTCATATACAGTGCTCTCATCTCATGGCTAAAAAATTAAGTATCCTACTAGTTCCCTAGGCAAAGCTCTAGGTATTTTGGCTATGTAAGCCTGAGGGAAATGTAAAAGGTGGCTTTGTGGTTAAAATCCATGCCAGAGTTGAACAGGCCCAGTGTAAAACAGGATTACATCATTAGAGGATTTCTGAAGAGAATGGGGATTTAGGGTACAGTGGCAACAATAACTTTGAGAGCTAGTATTTCTTGAGCACTTATTTACAACATACAAAGCACTATTCCTAATTACTCTATATTTACTTCTAAACACATTTTTGTCACCACACTTGGAGGTAGGTGTCATTATTATTCCCATTTTAGAGATGAAGAGCCAAGGCTTGGTGACATTAAGGATGTAGGTAGGTAGTTTCTAATCTGTGAATCAATATAATTATTCTCCACATACTAGTAGTGTCCCCTGCTGATGTAAGAACCATATATGTAATTTCAAAGTTTCTAGTGACCAAATTAAAAAAAGTAAAAAGTAACAAGTTAAATCTATTTTAATATTTTTAGCTCAGCATAAGCAGATATTGTTTCAATAAGTAATATAAAATACTGAGTTTTTATTTATTTATTTATTGGTACTAAGTGTTTGAAATCTAGTTTGTATTTTACACTTAAAGCACATTTTAATTTGGACTGGCCACATTTCAAGTGCTTAATAGCCACATATGACTAGTGGCTACCATCTTGAGCAGTACAGTTCTTATACTATGGGAAGAAACACAAGCAAATACCTGCTCTGGAGCAGAATCCAGATATTTCCAAGGAAACAATTTTTCTGACTTAATCCTGAAGCCCAGAGAGCATTCCTAAGACTTAATGTTTTATTGGCTCATCCTACCCACTTTACCTCTCATGGGCCCCTAACCAGAGGAGTCTAACAGAACTTAGCCCAGGCCAGGCTACACAATCCCCTCCTAACCACCTAAGGCAGCTCAATTTCTGAAAGAGACTTATCTTTGAGGAGGAAATTATATCTGACAGCCAATTTGGGGGTAATTTTATTGATCAGAAGATACTACGAGTGTAGATTTGGTGTGAGACTGCCTGCCTTGCATTATTATTTGCTAGTAGTATGAATTTGGCCAATTTACTGAAATTCCTTTGGCTGAAGTTTGTCTTCTATAAAATGGAGACTGAGAGACCAATCATTTCACATGCTACTTGACCCATTGAACACTATCAATGATAGCTAATTAGGCTGACTCCTCTAATGAATCCATTGTTTTATTGCTCCTTCCTTCCATGAAGACCTCTCTAAAAGAAGGTGATATTCAGTACAGGAGCTATAAAACCTTGCAAAGTTGTCCCAGAAAATTCACCTTGGTCCTGAAAATGTTCATATTGCTTAAAGTTGACTTTTTATCCTCCCCACTAAGCTTTCTCCTCTTGGTATATCTGAGAACAGCACCATCATCCAAAGCAGTGTTCTACCTCAGATGCCTGGGAGTCATCTCAGACCAGTGATTCTCACTTCTAGGGTCGTGTTTGAACAGTTGCAAGATGCTGGGGAAGGCCATGTATAATCTGGAAAAGCATAGCCAGAGGTAGATTTATCCTGAAGCTAATGAAATTCAAGTGTCAAGTGCTTTTCCAAGGCCCTGGGAGGGAAGGGCTCTACAAATGTATTCGTGTTGTCTCTCTGTATTTTTTTTTTCAATTTGCCATGTTAAGATACTTTTAGTAAATGGTTAATACCATTATTTTATTTGCACTTGATCTTCTCTACAATTACCCATTGTCTGATTATGTTGCAACAATGATGAAAATGTTGGGATTTGGATAAGAGAAAATTTAGTTGAAGATGCATTTAGTGTAGCATTAATAAATTATATAATGTGATTTGCACAGATGCTCATATTTGGTTCATTTGTTGCTAGCCAATCTGATGTAAGAATTTCTTCAAAGATATTCCTAATGCACACTGGAAAAACTCACCTAGACTCCTGGCAAGATGCTGGGCCAGAAAACGTCATGACATCCAAATATTCATAATACTCACCCAACACTGAGAGTGGGTACATAGTAGAGTAGAAATGTGTAGAGCAAGAAGCTAGTCTGAGAAGAATTCTTACACATTTTACGACTCACATATGAATAAAAGGCTTGACAGGATTTTCCAAATTTCAAAACAATCCTAAAAACCTGACATAACCAATAATGTTTTAAAGCTGAAACTCTTCTAAATTATCAAGAAAATAAAACAAATTATGATCAACCACCCTGGAGGAAAGACCAATTTCTCTTTCCACTATCTATAAAACATTACAAAATAATTATCTTAAGATGGCATCAGAGTATTTGGTCAGAAATATAGAAAAAATATATACTATAGTGTCTGAGTTAATAAAATGCTTATTTTTGTCAATTTTGTGATGAGTATGGCTTTTTTACACATATAAAGGCTGTGCTTTTTTACACATATAAAGGCTGTATGACCAAATGCAAATAAACAGGAAAAAAGTGTTCGTAAACTAAAGAGAAAAGTTTGTAAAGGCCTCAAAGGGAAATTCCCTTAATTAAAAGTTTTCTTTAGCCTCCATTTCCTGTACCTCTCCAGACCCCATATGACATAGATAGGGATCTCTCTCAATGCAAAGCGCCTTCAAGTGTAGTGCACAAACATAAAGCACTCACCAATTACTTTCTTCAACGTGGAACAAACGAGACTTGACTGCATTTTGTCTCAGTAATTGAGAAAACTGTCACAACTACTTTCAGTGGAACTGTGGGTGGCTCTGAAAAGAGCCTTTTCAAGTAGAAGCAAACAGGCTTGATTTATGCCCTTTCCCCACGGATGCGCCGTGCCAGCTGGATGTCTTTGGGCATGATAGTCACTCGCTTGGCGTGGATGGCGCACAGGTTGGTGTCCTCAAACAGGCCCACCAGGTAGGCCTCGCAGGCCTCCTGCAGCGCCATCACTGCCGAGCTCTGGAAACGCAGATCGGTCTTGAAGTCCTGCGCGATCTCTCGCACAAGGCGCTGGAAAGGCAACTTGCGGATCAGCAGTTCGGTCGATTTCTGGTAGCGGCGGATCTCTCGCAAGGCCACGGTGCCAGGCCGGTAGCGGTGGGGCTTCTTCACGCCGCCGGTGGCCGGGGCGCTCTTGCGGGCCGCCTTGGTGGCCAGCTGCTTACGCGGCGCCTTCCCGCCGGTGGACTTGCGAGCTGTCTGCTTAGTACGGGCCATTTGGAGCGACTGAAAACCCGCGGAAAGTCTGTTCAGAACTGAGCTTAAGTTCCCCTTAAATAGAGTTAGAAGCATTCTGATTGGCCACATGATATTTCAAAAGTCCCGCGCGACAAGATCATTGGCTGAAGAGTGACCAGAGATTGGTTTATTAGTAGAGAATCTGATTGGATGAACTGCTACCGCCCGGCTTAACCCTTTAGTTCAGTCTGTTATTTGAGAAGATAAACATTCTGATGTTCTAGTTCATCCCACCACCAAGTAGTGTACATAATTCAAAGCATTTAAGGATCGTGTTAAAATGTAAATTTTGATTCTGTGAGTCTGAGTGGGACCTATAATTCATGCTTGTAAGTTATCAATGCTGCTGGATACCCACTGGATCACAGCAAATGTTCCCCGATTTATGCTGGACAATGTTTTGCTAAAGATAAGAATTTGTAAAGTCCCCACTACTTTGTTATTAGCCAATGGCAAGTTTCCTTGCCCTTTGTCTCCCCCCCCCCCCCAGTCCAAGTGACATACCTGCCTCGCCTTTATTCTCGAAATGTATTTTTTGATTCGTCTTACCCGGTATGCCCTAAAATGGAGTGCTTAAGGGGCGACATGTTTCCTCGGAACACATTTAATGTCTCAACATCACTATCTTTCACGAACACTCAAGGTTTGTTGCTAACACGAAAGAATTAAAAAAAAAATCTCTGAAACATAACGGAGTTACCAGCTTTTCTTGTGAAAATATGATGGCTCTGAAAAGAGCCTTTAAAATAGCACAGCATAGGACAAGTGAGCTACGTTTTCCGACCTAAGTTGATTTTACTTGCCCTTGACTTTATGGTGGCTCTCAGTTTTCTTAGGCAGCAACACGGCCTGAATATTGGGCAGGACGCCGCCCTGAGCGATGGTGACTTTGCCCAGCAGCTTGTTGAGCTCCTCGTCGTTGCGGATGGCCAGCTGTAGGTGGCGCGGGATGATGCGCGTCTTCTTGTTGTCGCGAGCCGCGTTGCCCGCCAGCTCCAGGATCTCGGCGGTCAGGTACTCCAGCACCGCCGCCAGGTACACCGGGGCGCCGGCTCCGACCCGCTCGGAATAATTGCCCTTGCGAAGAAGACGGTGGACTCTGCCCACAGGAAACTGTAAGCCTGCTCGAGATGACCGAGTCTTGGCCTTAGCTCGAGTTTTACCTCCCTGTTTCCCACGTCCAGACATAGTGACGAGCAACCACAGCAAAAAACTGCGTACAAAAGGAAGAGAACGCAGTACAAGCTGAAAAAATATATTTATAGACAGTGCAGGACTGTGACAGAAAACTATCCTATTCGTCGAATAACGTTGTTTTCTTGTCCAATAGGAAAAGAATACGTCATCCTTTATTTGCATAAACACCACCCCTTAGAAAATGTATTCCTTTTGACCAATCCGAAGCAACAAATTTTGAACCCTTATTTGAATAACAGGACTATAAATACTTGGGTTCGGAGTAGTCGCCTGACTCTCTTGTGGAGAATTTGATTAGTAGTTTTATTTCTTGTGGGAAAAAACTATGTCTGAACCTCTAAATCTGCTCTAGCGCCTATAAAGGGTTTCAAGGTTATGACTAAAGCACGCCAGAAAGATGGTAAAACGCAGCCACAAAAAGAGCTTTCTATTTACGTGTACAAGGTGCTGAAGCAAGTCCATGCCAACACAGGCCTCTCTAAAGCTATGGGGATCATGAATCATTTGTTAGTGATATTTTCATTTTCTTTTTTTTTTTTTCATTTTTTTTTTTTTTTTGACAGAGTCTCCCTTTGTTGCCTAGGCTAGAGTGAGTGCCATGGCATCAGCCTAGCTCACAGGAACCTCAATCTCCTGGCTCAAGCAATCCTTCTGCCTCAGCCTCCCAAGTAGCTGGGACTACAGGCATGCGCCACCATGCCCGGCTAATTTTTTATATATATATATATTAGTTGGCCAATTAATTTCTTTCTATTTATAGTAGAGACAGGGTCTCGCTCTTGCTCAGGCTGGTTTCGAACTCCTGATCTCGAGCAATCCGCCCGCCTCGGCCTCCCAGAGAGCTAGGATTACAGGCGTGAGCCACCATGCCCGGCCTATTTTCATTTTCTAGCGAACCGTGGGGGAGGTATCTTTGCCTGGCACATTACAACAAGCACTGTACCATAACCTCCTAGGTGCTCAAAAGGGCTGTGTGTTTGCCGTTGCCAGGGGGACAGGCAAGCATGAGGTGTCTGAGGGCACCAAGGCTGTCACCATGTACCCAGCTCCTAGTAAATATTAGGCACTCCCTAATCTAAAGGCTTTTTTCAGAGCCACCCACTTTGTTGAAAGGGAGCTATAACATTTAAGTGTAGATAGTGCTATGGATTGATTACTAATGAATAAACTTGAATGTTGATAAGGCAAATTTGGAGCCGAGGTTGGTGAAGGACTTGAACCGCCGTTTTGCTTAAAACAACACGCACCCAAAAGATGGCGACTTCTATTTCTTGTCTATGTATTTAACATACGTCCTCATTTCCTTTGGGTGTTCATTCATACATTTACTTTGATGTCACTACCCCCCTTCCCTACCCAGCGTATTTCTGGTGCAGACTGTAATTCCATGCTGGATAAATGAAGTAGTTAAGGGATTTCAGGGACGGTGGGCGGGGAGTCCTGAAGAGATGGGGGAGTGAGTCCCTGTAAGGATGTTTATTCCTGGAGCTTGAACTCACTGTGAATTCTGGCCTCAAGCGCTGGGGAAACAGCAAGAGAAGTCTGAAATTCCCCTGGGCACCTCTTTGTGGTATATCTCCAGGTCTTTGCACGACGAAATGAAATTCCTGTAATCTCGCATTATAACTGTTTATCGATAACAATAGTTAAATAGCATTTAAATTTTTCATGCATCCCAGAAATCCAAACTCTCATTTCCTGGGCCTCTTACCATTTGGGTTTACAGCTAGAATGGGGTGTGGATTTTGGTTTAAACTCTGGGAGGGACAAAGGATTTAAATCTCATGCCCCTTCCCATCTGGCGCCATCTGATAGCTGACTGGGCAGGCTCCTCCCCAGTAGATGAGGGAGACACACTGGTTTCCTTCAGGAGACCTTTTTGGAAGAATCCTGAACTCTAAAAAAGCTAGAAAAAGACAGGAAGGGCAGTGGTTGAGGAGGAAGAGTCAATCAGGTCACATTTGGGTCCAGGACTTGGGGATGGGAAGAAGAGCAGGAAAAAGAACAGCTGTTGACTACTTATTAAAGGGGGAAAATATTTTCCTTCTGCTTATGAGCACCTTATGTAGGTGATGTTCAGCAGTGTCTTTGGATGAAGAAATAAAATTTAATGTTTCTCAAACAGGACCTCTTTTGTAAAAGATTGAAAAATAAAATTATCTTCTAGATCCCACACAAGATGTCAGTGAAGTGCTGTATGAGAAGCACTTACTATTTCAGTATTATACATTGCAAACTATCATTGTGAAAGACAGATTTGGTTTAAAAATTATAAAACAACTTTCTCCTCTAAAAAAAAGTTATGACCACCCCAGACTTCAGTTTAAGAAAGTGAACTTTAGTTTATTCTCTTTAGGGAGTGAGACCTGGTGGTAATATTATTTCTTAGCATTTTCACAATGAACTCTTGAAACAGAGATTATTTTCTTGTCTTGTCATTTGCACCTTTGTTGTGTGCCTGCCTCCTTCCCTACTTCATTTTTTATTCTTTCCTTCCTTCTCTTTCTTTCATTTTCTTTTTTCTTTCAAATAGAAATCCAGAATTTTTTGACTGTTTTTCTAAAACTATACCCATTTTTTTTTTTTTGAGACAGAGTCTCACTTTGTTGCCCAGGCTAGAGTGAGTGCTGCGGCTTCAGCCTAGCTCACAGCAACCTAAAACTCCTGGGCTCAAGCAATCCTACTGCCTCGGCCTCCCAAGTAGCTGGGACTACAGGCATGTGCCACTATGCCCGGCTAATTTTTTTTCTATATATATTAGTTTCTATATATATTAATTTCTTTCTATTTTATAGTAGAGACAGGGTCTCGCTCTTGCTCAGGCTGGTTTCAAACTCCTGACCTTGAGTGATCCTACTGCCTCAGCCTCCCAGAGTGCTAGGATTACAGGCATGAGCCACCGGCCTGGCCTAAAACTATACCCTTAATTGTCAAACCCAAAACAAAACTTAGGCCTCCTAAACTCAAAGGTAGATCTTTTTGCTATCCATACTGTTATTTGGCTGATCTTTAACCAGTGACTAGGGAATTAAAAATAAAATCAGACTCCTGGACTCCATGGAGAGTGTAAAGAAGTCAGAAATGTCCACAAATCTGTCCAGTTGATTCTGATGAGGCTCCAACTTTGGACACAACAGGACCAGAGGGCAAGCCCATCAACTTGAGTGAAATTAGAAGGGTTTATATGCTCCCTTCCCTAATAAACTCCCACATTATCTCCAAAGTTGCAGTCTCTGGGTTACAAAGTAAATGGGAGAAAAATAACCTGTACTACAGCCTCAGCTCTCCATTTATTCATGGAAAGACTTGCTTCCCCACTCCATTTAAAAAGAAGATCTGAAAACAGAATGAGCTGAATTTGTAGAGGCAGGGAGAAGGAGTTGCTCTTAACTGAGTCCTGGGCAACTGGAATAAAGGGGTTTGGGGAGAGGTTGACTAATCTGGAGGCAGGTTGACTAAGAATTTGGAAATAATAAAGGCCCAGAAAATCCTCAGACTGTTCATGATTTGGGAAAGAAAAGGCATAGTCAAAAGATAAGGAATGCCCTTGCCCTGTTGCTTGGCTGATAGGAGAACATAACTTCTTAGTTCTGTCTTCAGCAAATAACTCTCAGCAACACTTGCTATTTTTTTTTTTCCATTTCCAGTAAATAAGTTTAAATGAGTTTTTTTCTTTTTTACTTCCTGGAAAAGTAATCCCCATGCATTAATTTAAACAACAATAACCACTAAAACAATTTCAAATAAATATGTTGATTGGATTTAGTTCATGCCACCCCAAAATATGGAAACTTGAGATTTGAGAAAACAGCAGAAACAGAAAGGTCATTCTCACTTTCCCCTCTTCCTTTTTCCCTGAAGCAGGCCATACAAACAAGGAAAAAATACACTCATCTTCTCCTGAAGCAGGTCATGAGGCTCTTATGAGAGGTGCCCTCCCTATACTTGGAGGAAAGGAATGTCCTTATCTTGGTCACAGAGAAGAATCTGAACAAATAGGCCTTGCTACATTCCCCACAGTATATTACCATTACCCTGCAACCGATCATACTTCTTCACAGCTATCCACTCCTTCACTAAATTTACTATAAAACTACACCAGTTTCCCTGTTTGAGTCTTCATTTCTTAAGGCTCTCGGGTCATGTAAAACTTATATTACATTGTATGCTTTTCTCTTGCTAATCTGTCTTTTATAACAGGCGCCTCAGCCGTGAACCTAGTGATGGGTGAGAAAAAAAGAAAGCTTTTCTCACCAACAATATAGACATCAATTATAATTTCATCATTCAGGATATTTTGGTGACCACTCTCATTAAAATTTTACATCATGCAAGTCTATATGCACAGATATAAAAAGCTTTTTATATGCCATACTTTTGCTTTTCTATTATCCTTTTAAATTAATAGAGATTCTAATGATCATTTTCATGACTGCATTTCATTGTAAGGAAGTGAGTAATTGCCCTTTATGAATTGGCCTTCCCTTTTTAAAAACTATAAACCATGTTACTGAAGGAAATAAAAATATTTTACCCCAGAAAATATTTTTTGACATATTTTGAGATGGCTGTCAGAGAGCCAGCAAACAGTAGTAGCCCTGTAAAACTGTCTTTTCGGAGAGAAATTTGTATCTGTAGAAAATCTACATTAATGCAACCAGGCCTTTTCTTGTCCAGATGTAGGAAAGATTAAGTGAGCATCTGACACCTTAAAGATCTGGGGGGAAAATAAAGTTTATTATCTCTTTTCTTTGAGGGCTGCTATCTGGTGAGGTTTCATCTATATAAGACCACCTTTGCTAGCCAAGTCTCCTCTTCTCTCCCTCCCATAACCTGTTTTGCCACTAAAACCAAATTTACCCCCTTAACCCTTTTGGGGTATGCTGTGAGCCCACATTCTTTCTGTAATTTCACGATAGCATATAAACTTCTGCACCCCATTGGAGGGGTTGGGTAATTGCTCTGTGATTAGCTACAAGGTAAGATTTTTATAAAAGGTAAAATTTAGTTTCTCCTTTAAACAAGATTTTCATATAGTATAAATAGAAATAGTAGAAGAGTTTTATTCACCTTTTCAATCAACTACCAAAAATTTTTAAAAAGAGCAAGGAAGGAAGATAAAGAAAAGACAGGTTTCTTTTTGCCTTACGGTATCTTTGTTAGGTTTATGGTTGGGAATCTGAGTTTTAAT